AAAGGAATGTTGCAATGAATCAGAGTGCGAATGCAGAATGCAGGATCAGATAGTAAGAACAGAAGTAAATATCCAGAACACAAAAAGACTTTGCAGTGAACTGCATGATTCATAAAGACATTTCCTTCTGCCTACCAAGCATCCAAGAGATATTAAAATTCATGCATCTTCTGCAGAGATAAATGATATTGGTGCTCATATGCAAGCACCGCATGCATTCAGACTGTAAAAAATACACTCGGCAACAAGGCAGTCTTCCCTGACAAATCAATGTAGCAGATAAAAAGAACTACGTGCAGTAGTTGGTGGGAAGCTGAAAAAAAAAGAAACAAGAAACGAGAGATCACTTTTTACCGTAGTGGAATGACATAACGATAGCAAACGTTGGCAAAATATTGCAGCTGCGCAAATACGAGTCTATTTATTGTTAGTAGTAGAGGAAGTAAGACAATATCTTCTTTAAATCCGGTGGAAGAGCCAAAATCGAATCATCAAGAATGAAAAATTTTTTTGGCTTTGATAGAATGCCAGCAGGTAAACAGACATTTGGTAAACTGAGGATAACAATTCGTGATTTTCGCCATGAAAATTCACTAGCATGGTTCTTTCTTGCGAAAATCGATATCTTTTTTTGGTGAGCCCAGATAAATGTGATTACTTTTCAAAGGACAGATGTAACCAACCTCCGGGTCGTAAAACGTAGGCATATTCTGCTAGCAGTCCGGGGGTTATAATTCGCCATTTGTGCTTTTTATTCTTGAAGTGTGGATCAGGAAACAAAAAGAAGATTTTCGAAAGTTGATGTTTGTGAAAATAATTCGGCAAATACTTCATGGCATTTGATCTGAGACATGCTACGTTGCGATAACCACCGGTTTCTGCCTCACGAATTCGCAAAGCTTTTATCTTCTCTTGCACGAAATCTGAAACCTACACAGCGATTTCAGAAATCACATTAAAAACGAAAAGTAGAAACAACCTTCACGCGTATTTCAAGGCCAACCATTAAGACCTCCGGAAACATGGGCGACAGCTTCATAAGCAAACCGCCATAACCACATCCAACATCAGCAAACTCCACTTGCCTTCCTTCGGCGTAGTCGCCGTATAATTTCTTCCAGTCCATGCTAAAAACAAGGATTACATCAGAGCCACGTAGTATTTCGTAGTAACTTACTCAGCAGGAGTGCGCGGGTAATCTATGTCATGATCCGAATGTGGATTAGAATGTGCTCGCTGCCTAAAGTTTAGTATGAAGGGATCATTCAAATAACATAAAGAAAAAGCGCGTTATCTCAACCTTGGAAGAAACAGCCAGAATCTATCAGGTTGTCGAATAATGCAGAGCAATATTTCTCATGCTTGGGTATTAAAGCTGAGATTTACGGCTGTATCTGCGAGTAAATCAGGTGCTGAACCTTTTACATGGGAACGAACCACAAGCTGATGTCAGTTTGCCATTCTGCGCCTATCCTCTCAATTCTCAATCTCCGCATCGTTGTTGAGATTCAATTTTTTTCACTTTCAGGCATTCAAAACGTTCTAGATTTCGGCTTCGAAGGTAAACATGACTTACTGCGGTAAAGAGGCAATTTTCATCAAACTCTGGTATCTAAGGCCCAAGGCATACTTCATGCGATTGCAGTCGCCGCGCGATCTGGCAATTTGCCAGATC